GCTTTGGGGTACCAGCAAGGTTGTGTCGATCAAAAATAGACAGAGTAGTTTTGATAAGAACATTTACAATTAGATGATCTGAACATATGTGTGAGGAATGTGTCTGTTTGAAGGCTGTAACCAATCAGTTTTCACTATCTGTTAGCATGTCTGAATTTAGCCAGTGGGGTGTAGATTATCTCTGCTTTCTTCACACACTCTTTCTTAACTCAGTTGGATCGTTGCCTGGCTCAGTTGGTAATTCTCTTGCCTCAGAATCACAAAGCTGTAGGTTCAAACCCCACTTTGGGGTTTTGAGTTCATAATCTAGGTTGACAACCTAGCTCCGTTGCAGTGAGAGTAGTGGTTTCATTAGCATAAACTAGACTTGCTCCAAAAAGCCCAGGCACCAGTTAAAGTCACTCATCTCAATTTGTAAGCGCTCTGTGATGCTACAACCATGTGAAGGGCACTATAAACTGCTAGTTGTTGTTACATTATGCTGGATTAACTTCTGTAACCAAGTGTAGTTTCTCGAATTGACCAAGCCCAGAGGCTGAGATGTGATCTTTCAATGCTCCAGCAGAAAGCAGCAGTGTGTTTTACAGAGGCACATCAGGCAAGAAGAGGGAAAAAGCTTGTCAGGTGGATGAATGCCTCAAGCTCTTCAGGTTGTCTATTAACATAATTTGAGTATGCGATGCATGCAACCACCTGTTGACTCCAGTCTCTGAGATAGCCACAGTAAACAAGCGTTTGTGGGAATTCCTTGCTTGTAACTGTCTTTCATTCTGGATTCCATGAATTTATGGAAATCACCAAGGAGATGGGAGATGGGTGAATTGTCTCACAGGCTCACAGCAGACTGAGTAGCTCTTGCCCATATTTGCCACTGTCTGAAATGATAGTGTGAAAGTTCAGAAAGATACAGAGCCTGACAGTGGATTCTTTCTTACACAGATTACACTGATGTCTGGCTGTATATTTGGTAGACCACATTTCACCCTAAAAATATACAGTCAATTCCCTTCATGGTATATTCTACGAAGCGCTTTCAGATATCTCAAAGACGTGATAAGGCGCTATATCAAATGCGAGGATTATTATTATTATAAAGATAACGATCTTTCCATTACATCTTATAAAGATGTAGCAAAGAGACTTTTTGTTCAGTGATAAACCCAAGATATTTTCCAGGAACAAAATATTCCAATTCTGCGCTGCTGCTCACAACTGCATAATTGTGTTTCATTTTTGCCATTGGAGCCAGCTAATGAGCTATGTAAATGAATTATCACCCTCTAGTGGTCAACCTTTAAGCCAACACACAAATTTGCTTATTTTTCATTAATCTATCTCACCGATCTCAACCAGAGTCCTCCTCACTCATACCAAACTGCGCATCTCCCCAGTCGTTGCCAGTCACTGACAACATCAATCTACATAGGTGCACACTCCACCTTGTAGAGCCAGTGCGGAACCTTGATACGTTCGACTTCCAGCGGTCCTCTAAACACATCCATGCTCTGATTCACTCATCTTTCCCACACCTCCAGAAGATTGCCCACATCCGCCATTACCTCTCCCCTCAGGCTGTTAAGACGCTAATTCATTCATTCAACACATCCAGGCTTGACTACACCAATTCGCTGCTGGCCGGACATCCCAATTTTTCCTTCCACAAGCTGCAGACTATCCACAGCACTGCAGTCCATGTCCATTCCCACACTAGGTTCCATGAGCCTTTAACCCACATCCTATCCTGGCTCCACTGGCTCCTTATATTCAGTAGATCGAATTCAACATCCTTGCCTCTATGGTTTTGCCTTACCCTACCACTACAATCTTCTCAAATCTAACCAGCTCACCCACTTCCTCTGCTCAGCAGGCACCAGGCTACTTCATGACCTCAGCTATCGGTGGACTGGCTTTCAGCCTATTTTCCCCTTCTCTCTAGAACTCCATAAGGTCCCATTAATTTGCCCCTTCCCTCACCTTGTTCACAGTCGGCCTCGAGACCTTCCTCTTTAATCATGCCTTTGGTCATTTTCCCCACCCACTCAGCCCCCCATGCCAGCTCAGGTGCAATCTTTGCACTGTCCAGTGCCTTGGAATTTCCCACCGATGTGAAAGGCACTACAGTATGTATATAATTATTTCTACCAGGCTCCATTGGCTCTCTGGTCCAGAATGGATCGATTACAAGATCCTCACCCTCACTTACAAATCAGTTCATGCCCTTGCATCTGCCTTCTCTCCATCCTGCTCACACCCCATTTCTCTTTCCCTATATTCAGATCACACCCGAAGATTTTCCTTTACGACTGGGTCTACAGTCACCTCCCCTTTCTACTGGCTCAGTCGCAAACTACACCATTGTTCAGTGCTCCAAGACACTACCCCACCTGAAGTTCACTATATAAGTGCAAATCGATGTCCTGCTGCCTTGGAGAATGTGAAAGTATTGGTCTCGATTTGCTTTCTCCATCTCAATTAGGATCGTTTATAGCTCTTGTTGGCCCCCTCTGTGACATCTCTTTTCAAAGCTGAAGAACTCTGTCTTATTTATTTGTAGCTTGTAACTCATCCCTCTGACACTGGGGATCAACTTCATTGTTCTCAATTTCATTAAGGAGCCCTTTAATATCACAGTGACCAGAACTGCATGCAGTATTCTAGGTGTGGCCTGACTAGAGCACTCGACAGCTTGAGAATGATTTCTGAAGATCTGAACCTGACTGATTTGATAATATTGCCAACATCTTGTTTGCCTTGTTTCTGACATAATATTTGCTAGTCAAACTGTTTCGACATATTGAACACCTCTAGATCTCTTTCAGCTTCCCCCTTGGCAACTTCTATGCTACCCATGGATTACAAGTTTTCACTTGCTATATGCAGCTTCATTTGCAGTCTGTGCATTCTGCATAGTTGCATTCTTTGTTAAGATCTCTTTGTTAGATCTGTTCCCTCTCCTCTGTTTCCAGTTACCCCCTATTTGGTGTCACCTCTAAATGTATCATCCAGTGCCATAGATGTCCTCTTTTTAAGCCTTTAACCATCATAACAAAATATTATGTTGCAATGGGAAATGTTGTTGCTGAGAGTTTTGGATTTAATACACTCTTGTAGCAAACATTGTGAAACACAATGAAAACAAAGTGATGGAACAGAGCGTTATAAAGTCCAAATCATATTTCCGCAAGCTGAGCAATAAATATTTTATTAGAGGATTGGAGGCAGCGATACAGGCACATCAAACAGTTCTCAGCTTTCAGAAGCAGGAGTAAAAGCTAAGTTCTGAGTCACAATTCGGCAAACGCTAAAATATAGATCTCACATGATTACAAGATTGATTTGGGTGAAGAAGGCCCTTTGGGCCATCTAATCTCATCCCATCAGAATACCTGCCCTACCATCTCCCATCACAGCATCAGGCTGTTTTTTTCAAAAAAATGAGTCCAGTGTCCCAGCCTCAATCACTCTTCCTGACAATCTGTTCCAGCCATTAATTACCCTTTGAGTAAAGAAAAACATTGCAGTGTCTGCCCTGAAATTGTTCTTTGCATCTCTAAAGCTATGTACTCTTGTTCTACTGTCTGTCTTGGTGCATCCTAAAGTATTATAATGAGTTTACTTTTCCAATCCCATTTAAAATTTGTTACCCCTCTATGAGGTCCCCTTCGATCATCTTGTCTCAAGACTGAAGAACCCAGCTGTCTAATCATTGGTCATAGCCTGGGTCAAAAGAAAAGTGTTGCTGCAATTTTTCCACGGAATCCGCTACAAACACCCTCCTCCACTGAAAACCTATAAAATGCAGTGTACTTCACCCCGGGCCTCTTGCTTGATGCTACTTTGGGCGGAGAAAGCTCTGGACCCGCGTGCATGGTGCTGCGCGAGCGGGAAATGGGCTTTGCTTGCCTCAAGGCCCCACTGTTGAGATTGTCTGTGTGTCTCTCCTCTGTATGTGTGATGATGGCCCTCAAGAGGCAGGAGGTGGTGACCTCCTGGAGCTCCGCGGTCAGGACGCTGGCAAGCTTGGCAAGGAATTTTGGGTGTTGTCAGAACTCCAGGCCTTCATATGTAGTGCAGGGTGGAAACAGACCATTATTTCTTCATGTTTATTTTTTATTAATAAAGTGAAATGTCCTTTCAATAACCCCAATTAACTCTCCACAAATTTGTCAGCTTTCCCCACAATTTTGGCAAATATTTCCACAATTTTCTATTGATTCTGGTCATAGCTCATTCCTCTAATAATGAGGATTATCCTTGTTCTCCTCTGCCCTGCCTCTAGGGCCTGAGCAGCCCCTTAACCAGAATGGGAGAATAGACTAGGAGGTATTTAATCTACACACAAGCCTCCACATATCTTAATTCCCTCTCTACACTTGACTATGTAAGACTCTCTTAGGAATCCAAAAGTAATATTAAAGTCAAATGAGAGAATGGAGAAGAAAAGACAATGGGGAAAAGGTATGTAAAATGCTCACATTTTAATTGCTATTTTAAAATTGTTCTTAACAAGGTTGACATTGCATACGACCATACATCATGCTACTTGCAGGAACCACTTGGATCCATATCTGGAGCAGAGTTCATGTAAATTGATATGATGTACCTTTGGTTACCAACAGGAGTTGCTATTCGCAAGTTTTCTTGCAAAGGTAATGTTTTAAATAATCTTTGCATTTGATATTGCTCTTTTATCACGTCATCAAAGCATTTCAAAGGACTTCACAGGATTTTACTGTGAGGTGTAGTGGCTGTGTCTTTTTGTGGGCGAATGCGGCAGCCAATTTCCGCACATCAGTGTCCCACAAACAGCAATGAATGAGCAGTTTTATCTCTCTAATTGAAAAGTGTAATGGGATCTTTAATGTCCACCTGAACAGGCACAGACAGGACCTCAGTTTAAATGTTTTAGACCCCAGTACAATGAACAAAGAGCAATTCAGACTGTGATGTCTGAAGGAGACAGAGATATAATTGAATTAATTTCTTGTTCTTTTTCACAGATGGACCCAGTTCAGAAAGCAGTGATAAATCACACGTTTGGGGTTCCTCTTCCTCCAAGAAGAAAACAAGTAATTTCATGCAACATCTGCCAGCTGAGGTTTAATTCTGATGTGAGTGTACAAGGGATAGGGATACATTCAAGTCCACAACTCAATACTGCAGATATCTCCATAAAACACAATGGTGCACTTTGGTGACAGAAAAGCGGAAATACTTGAGCAACTATTAGCTATTGCAAAATGAATGCATTACACTGGCATTGAAGCACTAATCCACATGACCATCTTTCTGGATTGTGCTATGTGCATTTGTTTTACAGCTGATAGCTAGTTTTATATTAGTTACTAATTGTTCTAGTCATTTTGTAGCAAAGGACTGTTATTGGATATGTTGCTTTAGTTTTCTATAGAAAAGCAACGTTAAAATCCTGAATGCCGTATTCAGGTTTGGGTCCCTGAAAGAAACAGATTCTGACATACTCTCAATACCAATTACTTTGCGGATGAAGAATCTTTTGACCCATTCAGAATCGTGTCTTAGCCATCAATCACAGTCTGTCATGGATGAGCAGAAGGTCTGATTTGTTGTTCAGACCCACCGGTGCGAAAAATGTTGCACCTGGAGGCTTAAGAAAACATCCTAAAATGAAGGATGCCGCAGTGCCAGGCTTTGTGCAATGCACACCAGTCAGCAGTATAAGTGTATTCTACCTGCAAAGCAGTTTCAAACACAGGCTTTTTTGACCAGGTCTCCCACTTACCAAAGATCATATACTGCTAAGTTTTAAAGGCTTCTGACAAAACTGATGTCACAGGTGAATTGCTTTAATCGCTCACAATGGTTTGTTCCTCTTGTAAAGAGGCAAATGTGTTCCCCAAAAAAATCAGGCAAAATTGTTTTTGTCACAGTGTGCCTGTGACACAATGGTGCATTTTGATGTGTGCTGGACTTATGCACGTTTTTGTAAGTGGTCCCTTGCCAATGTTTCCTTGTAAAAGTCTATATGGTTTTAAATTGTAAATTTAAGATCAGACAAACTGTGATTTGATTGAAGTCAACAATGCTAAAAAGACGCATTGTTCTATAAGAAGAGTTGTGCTATACAGTTAGTAGCAATTTGTTTGCTTTCCATGTCAAACTGACGCTAACATTTTCATGTATATCTCAGGTTTAACTGACATTGATTTAATATCGAGTCCTCTTCCCAATAGCATTTCCTGGAGAAGCTATTGGATAGTGTTTGTTGCAGTATGGGTCTGGTTTTACTGAAGCAGTTGCAAAGATAACTTTGAAATGTAAAACAAAGTAACTTGAAAAGGTTCTGTGCTGTCCATTTGCCCATGCTGATATGTGCTAACCTTGTTAAAGAACCAGTCATAGCCTGGCTGTTTGATATCTTAAACAAATAAACAGAATTCACCACTCATTAGTGAAGCTCTCTCTATATGCGTACTGTATGTCGAGAGTTCTTTTACTGGTGCTCCACCCTGGGAAATAATAAATTCACAGTAAATTAATCTGTTCACATCCAGTATAACTGCAGTTATATTACTCACTCTCAGTATAAGTGCAGTCATATTACTAACTCCCAGTATAAGTGTAGTTATTTTACTCACTCCCAGTATAAGTGCAGTTATATTACTCACTCCTAGTATAACTCTAGTTTTATTACTCACTAGTATCCACCCTATTTTCCGCACTTCTGCCCTCACCCCTTCCCCCCCATCCCGGAACTGTGATAGGGTCCCCTTAGTCCTCACCTACCACCCCACCAGCCTCAATATTTAGCACGTCATTCTCCGACATTTCCAGCACCTCCAGCATGACTCATCCACCAAACATATTTCCCTCCCCTCCCCTCTCAACAACAACAACAACAACAACAAGATTCCATTTATAGAGCGCCTTTCACGTCAGGAGGACGTCCTAAGGCGCTGCACAGTTGGGTCATGACCCGAGCAGGGGGGAAATGGTCAGGGTGAGGGGAGGGAAGGGAGGGAGAGAGGAGGGGGGAAATGGTCAGGGTGAGGGGAGGGAAGGGAGGGAGCGAGGAGGAGGAAGAGAGTCGAGAGGGGAGCTGAAGGCACGGTCAAAGAGAAAGGTTTTGAGACCGGCCTTGAAGGAGGAAAGGGAGGAAGCAAGGCGAAGGCACTGGGGATGGAGTTCCAGAGCCTGGGGGCTGAGAGGCTGAAGGCCCGACCACCGATAGTAGGGCGGTTGGGGCGGGGGACGTGGAGCAGACCGGAGCCAGAGGAACGGAGGGTACGGGCAGGTAGGTAGGGGGATAGTAGGTTGGAGAGGTAGGAGGGAGCAAGGCCGTGAATGGCCTTGTAGGTGAGGATGAGGATCTTGAAATCAATCCTCTGGGGGATGGGGAGCCAGTGGAGGCATCTCCGCATTACGAAGGGATCATTCCCTCCAGGATTCCTTAGTTCATTCCGCCATCAGCACTACCACTGCTCTTCTTCCCCTGGCACCTTCCCATGCCAGCGCAGGAGATGTAATACCTGCCCTTTCACCTCCTCCCAGACCACTATTCAAGGCCCCAAACACAGCTTCCATGTAAGACAGCGGTTTACATGTACTACCATCAATGTAGTATACTGTATCCGCTGCTCACGGTGTGTCTCTATATTGGGGAGACTAAGTGCAGATTGGGTGACCGATTTGCAGAACACCTCCGTTCTGTACTCAAGGTCAACCCTGATCTTCCGGTCTCCTGCCATTTTAACTCACACTCCCATTCACAGTCTGACCTCTCCATCCATGGTCTCCTACGCTGTTCCAATGAACGAAAGCTTGAGGAACAGCATCTTGTCTATCTGCTGGGGACCCTACAGCCCTCTGGCCTCAATATCGATTTCAGCCACTTCAGACCATAACAGCTCACCTTTCCCCCTCCCCCTTTTTCTGTTACCAGAAGAGTTATCTTCTGTTATCATTACAGTCATCACCCCAGACACTCTTTGTCTCGCTCTGGTATGTTGCCTGTTCTCCACTATTAACACCTCTTCTCTCCAGTATTGTTTCAACCCACCACCCCCTTTTGTTTTATAATAATAATAATCCTTGCATTTGATATAGCGCTTTTCACGTCTTCTAGACATCTCAAAGCCTTTCACAGAATATGGTGTAAAGTGAATTGACTGTATATTTGTGGGCGAAACCCGGCAACCAATTGCGCACAGCGGTGTCCCACAAACAGTCGTGGATTGAAAATGACCAATGTATTATTGTTTTGTTTTGGAGGGGTTATTATTAGGAGTGTGGAGTAAGGAAACTTGCCCAAGGTTTCACCCTGCCTGGAATTGAACCCAGGTGTCAGTCTCCTATTATGTTTAGTCCGGTTAGATGAAAAGTTCTGACGAAGAGTCGTGGCCCTGAAATATTGACTCACTTTCCTTTCTCCATAGATGTTGCCTGACCTGCTGAGTGTTCCCAGCTCTCCCTGTTTTTGAACCATATCCTAACAGTTGTGCAGATGTATATCTAAATCAACCACAATCATGTTAATGGGAAACAAAATGAAGCTGGTATCTGGTTAAAATCAACCCCTTTAAATTCTGCATCATGAGTTGAAAGTTACTTGGGTGAAATTCCATTCAGCGTCATGCCTTCAGCAATGAATGACTATAATAGGAAATCTAATTAAAGTCTAACAGTGCCAAAGGTATTGTGCATGATACTGAATGGAATTTCATCCAATTCTGACCATGTGGTCATGAGCAGCACATTTGTTAATTTCAGAAAGGAGATAACAACTTAAACTGATGTGTCTGATCACTGAAGTGTCAGAATTCAGTGTGTGGCTTATCCTTCATGTGTACACAGCCATCAGGCCCTGGATTGCTCAATGGCATTTATCTGAGTAATTTGAAAGCTGATCATTATGTGTAACCACAAATTGGCATTAATGAAATATATCTGAGTATTTATGGGATTCAGAGCATTTCTTCTTAGAGGTTAAAAATACCTCATAATCAATAAGTAGATACATCAGACATAAGATGAATGTTAGTATTTTTCGTTCCTGCTGTCTGGTGGAGCCTGACAAGCTGATCGCTGTGTAAATCAGTCGTGGTGCTGCAATGGATCAGTGTGAGTGTGAATAGTTTGTGAAAGAGTCTAATGTTCTCTTTATATTGCCTGTTTAATGGAAATCCACGTAAATCTTCACAGCATTTTGTTACCAGACGTGAAGGAAATATGGCAATTCAACCAGTGTGAATGGGTCTGGAGTCCTTCTCCTGACATTACCTGTATCATAACAGCTTGAGTTGATATAGCACCCTTCATGTAAAATTATATCTCAGAGTACTTCACAATGGTGGGGTTGGCTGCTGACCAAGAAGGAAGAGGTAACCATAGGTGCAGTTGAATAGGTAGATTTTGAGGTGGTACTTAAAGATAGATAGAGTTGGGACAAGGCAGAGGGATAGAGGGATATAAGCATAATGGGCGTGAATCTAACTGAGCCCCATTGAGGTATCTCAAGGCTTTCAATAGATGACCCAAGATCTTTCAATGGACTGTTTTTTAACGTTGCTAATTGTTAAAGAGCTGATTGTGTTGCTGGCTCTTTGGAACATTAACATTTTTCACACAGTGTCAAAGTTCTGGACAAGTGCTAAGCTGAGAGATACACAGCAATGTCGAGTGGGGAGTGCTGATCAGCTTTCTCCCCTACACTGTTTCCAGGACCCTAAACATAGCATCAGACTGCACTCTGCAGCTGGTGATGGACAGTTATAGCACAACTACGAATACAATATTTATCTAACAAGTGGATGCAGTGAGATCATCCGTGAGTGGTAAAATTAGGCCTGTGTTAAGCTTATTTGTTGTGCATACATGATCATGTGTTCTTCGACAGCTCTATGTTTTCTATTTATAACTTGGTGCCTGTTCTTTTACAAAGAAGAGAATTTGCCAAATCAAGATCAGGTTTCAAAAGAGAACAAGATAAATATCAAAAAGGGAGTAAGCTATGTGAGTATGGGCAAAGGGCAGGTGAATGAGGGCAGAGAGGATTGCTTTTTATAAGAGATACACAGACACAAGGGGCCAAATGGTCTAAATTTTTATGAAGCTGGACCATACTTTGGAAGAA